CAAAAGTATGTGATAAAATTCGTGCGCTCACATGTGAATGGCAAAAACTCTTCTGAAGACACTTCCACAGGCAGTTGTCTGTGTGCGCTGTTAGAAGATGGACGTGTTTTGAATAGAAACAAAGACTTAACGGGATTGAATTTTTAGCAGAACTGAATACGATTTCGGCCAATTGTTAGAGACCATTAAATGGTAATCGAAAGCGTTGAAAAAGTCAAGAAAAGTAAATAATACATATAAATTATTTTTTGAAATACATTTTTGAAGCTTCAAAATTAACGCATTCACAATAAATCATAAAATATATAGTAAAGTTATAAATAACTTGAGCTTGTTTCAGTGTTAACAATGTAAAAACTTGAATAAAATATTATTGAGTTAACTTTATTTACAAAGAAGAGTACATTTCAAATAAGAAAATCAACTATGTTTAAAATAATTTAAAAATATTTTTGTTTTTAATTTAAAAAAAATTCAATTTGATTAAATTTTTTTGTATTGTTTTAAAACTAAATCGAATTTTAAAAATAACTCAATATTTTATCAAAATCAAAAAAATATTTACTAAACTAAATTATAATTTGATTAAAGCAATAACAAAATAATAATGTTAATTGGAACCGTTTATCTCACAAAGGGTACCGAACTTTATTTATATTTCGAAAACCAAAATTTGTGTTTTGGTTGTCGCGCCTATCATAAAACGCGGATTTTTCAAATGAAACCCAACACAAATTCTGTGAAATTTGCTAAACAAGCTGAAGGATCGAGTGCAACATACACTCACACACATACATACACACAGTGAGAGTTTTATGAGTGTTGTAAATAGGCCCACAAATTGATCTGTCAGCGTCCATTTAATTGAACAAAATACCTGTGCGTGGACCTTTTCCTGTGTTACCTGTTTGCCTGGACAGTATTTATTTACTTGCGTGTTGTTCTCTGTTTGTTGTGCCTGTCAACACACACACACACACCTGATTATCACCTGCAGCAGTGTGGAAATTTCGCTTCGGGAGAGCTGAAGAGCAAAGCTGAGAGCTGAGAGCTGATCCTGCCCACTTCAATATATAGCACATCTGTACATATATACACATAGTGTGTTGCCATTTGAGGGTGCGAAGTGCATGTTGCGTGTAGAGGGTGAGAGATCTGTGGCTGTATGTACTACATATATGTATATATGTACGTGTGTACACCCCATATCCATATCCATATTCACATGTGCTGCGCATTTATTTGCATTGCTTTGAATCAGTTTGTGGCAAACCCTCGAGGTGAACGCAGTGGAAACCAGAACGTAGAGCTCTCGTGTGTGTCCGTGTATGTGTATGTGTGCGCGTGTCTTTTGTTCGCACACCTGAGGAACGTTTATCAAAATAATAAAAGAAAACAGAAAACATATGTGAAATACAATAATAAAAATTCATATCTAATTTCAACTTCGTTTGTTGTGTTTACAGCTAAAAGAAAGCGAAATGTAATCGACTAACAAAAAAATTGTGTTAATATAAAATATTAACAAAAAACTATAGCAAGTGAAATGCAAATATATGCATATATATAATACAAAACTGCCCTGATCTGATCGAGAAAGAGTTTTAAAGGATATTGTCGAGAGAGGAACTCAAGTAAAGAGATATTTGAATGGTACGTAAAGAGCAGATAAAAAGAGATAAAAGTTTATCTTGAATGAGAAAAATTTTTTATAAATACAGATATTAATACAGATTATTAATATATACTAATATACAGATTATTAATTACAACTATAAAAACAAATATATTAATATTTGGAGTATAATTTTGAATAAGAAAGAAAGTGTTCTCTTGGTGGGCGCGCCCGACTAGTAGATACCCGTACCGTGCAGCTGTTTTTTAGGAATTTATTGTGAATCAAAAAAGCTTACTTTATATACTATATAAACTAATACTTATACGTATACTTATGCTATATATAAATAAATTTATGTATCAAGATATGTTTAAATAATTAATAATTGATAAAGGTTTCAATTAATTTCATTCTCTAATTTATTCGATAATTCGAAATGAATTTAATCAGTACCGTGGCAGGATGAACGGCTGAAACTAATAATATATATTTTACTTTTCACAATCAACAAACTAATAAATACATAGATACGGACAAATGAATAGATGGATGGAAAATTAAGATCCACTTGGTTGTTGATCGTGATCACAAATACAATATTTTATGGGCTTAGACTTCAGTCTTCAACTCAATAAAAAAGTACATTTTAAGATGATCATTATAATAGTCACATAGGCAATTGATGTCACAAATTTATGTTTAGGTTTTATCATAGATCAACTTTTAATAATACTTAAAATAGGCAAAGCGAATTAATTTGACAGCGCTATATTGGTAGCTGTCTAAACACTTTTGATCTTGTCTCACATCTTTTACCGAGCTTACATTTAAGTATTATATATCATTCTTATGATTCTAATAAGTGGAATCTCTTAAACAGACTAACTTGGACTTTATCAATGTATCATCATTATTCAAAATTAAGAACTCTCCTTTAAATTACTTTAAATATTTTGAAAGTTTTCAATTTGTGTGGCATGCCACATAGACAACTCCCCCATTCTCTCTCCCACACTCGATATCAGCTATGCTTGGCTAAGACCCGTGACCGCCTTAAATCCAAATGTGACTGCTTACTAGTAAATCTGACTGACTTACTGCGACATTAATTAAAAACTCGAGCAAGTCTTCCTCTGCTGCCTCTGACATCCACCTCACGGGCAGCTCCAGGTAGCAAGTGGCATTAACTGTTTTCTGAACTGTGTCGCTTTTAGCAACGCTCGAAAGTAAAATACGCGAATAAATAAATAAAAATGTTGCCTTAGTTGCTGCAGCTGCATTGCAAATGAGTTGCAAGCCGCACGCCGCACGCCGCATGCCACATGCCGCATGCCTGCTAATTGCACATTGTTGCACAGAGGCGTGGGTGCCCCGGTGGCTCTCTCCTGGTGGCATGTGTTAATATGCGGTTGCCGCCAGGACTTGCAAGGCGAAGACGCAGTCGCAGTGGCAGTGGCAGTGGCAGTCGCAAATGCGGTTGCAGCATCAGCTGGAGCCACAGCTAACGCCAAATAAAAATGTTTATTTACGCCGGGCAAATGTAAAGTTTTTTAATTTTGCATTCGCTGGCATTGAAGAAGGTGCCAGGCTTTGGCTTCGGCTTTGGTTTTGGCAAGGACTCAGCTTGACTAGGTGACGGGATGCGCGTTGTCAGGCAGCTGCCGACTCTTTTTAAAATTCACACACGCAGCATGCAGCGCCCTCCAGCGAGAGTGGGAGATACCTAGGTGTGTGTGTGTGGAGGTACGGCACGCCAGACAGTTGCTGAATTAATTAGATGCCACGCACTGAGATGCGTGAAAAAAAAGCTCAGCAGCCAGCGCACAGTGGGCTGCACAACAAATATTAGTGATCACATTTAATGAGCAAATATTTTACACTTTTTAAATAAACTAACAAATTGTTTAGAATAGTAAAAATAATAAATACAGGCTACTATTAATTAAGCTATTTTGAACTTCCAGCAAAAGACTTTATGTATATATATAAAGAAAGACAACTTCATGTCAATATTGTTCATATTATAAAGTAGAAATTTGATCTTAAATAAGTGTTACTTATGAATCTATCGTACCCTAAGCATTATGCCACAGGCACTTTTAATTATAATAAGACTTTTCTCTCAGTACTTAAATATATTTTGTGATTTTTAAAAGAAATATATTTTATTATGAATTTCTTTAATTTATTTTAAAATTGTATTAAGGGACAATTGCAGCCTCAAACTAGCCGAATACCATTTATATCGAGACCTAAAAACGACCACAGCCTATATTTTTCAAAAATTCAAATCATATTTATAGATTAAGAATTAAAAAAATAATTTTAATTAAATTATTATTATTATTCAAATTAAGATATATACCTTTTTTATTTTTTTCCATTTGTTCTTAATAAGATTGCACTTAATTGTAATGTTTATTTTCTAAATAATTTCCACTGTCTACACGTTTGTATGGGGCTAAGATAAACAAACAAAAAAACGCTATAGACAGTCGGACAGATAGAGAAAGCTGCAGGCGGGCAGGCAGCCAGAGTGAGGCGGGGCCAGGGAAAGGGGCCCGACGAGTGAGCCATTATCACACATCACACATCTGCATGTGATATCCTCAAGGATATGCGACACGACACGTAGCCGACTGTGATTGCTTCATGTGCGTTTGCACAGTTTCCACTCCTGTTTGTCTTTTTTGTTTAGCTTTTGCATTGTTTTGGCTTTTGTTGTGCTTGGGATTTGGTGAAAATGGTACGCATAGGGATGAGTGGAGGGTAGGCAGAAGAGATGATATATGCCGCGACTCATTAACATATTATCACAACACATACACGACATGGCATATGTCATGAGTAACGAGCATTGAATACACTGAGAGAAACAAGACTTAGTTGCTTAGATTGTAAATCTATAGATAATCAAGAGTTACTCAATGATAGTTTTTATGAATTAAGTAAGGTTTAATATTTTTACATATTTTTGAAGATCAAAACACCTTTTTAGTTATATACCATAGACCGCTGTAGACACTTAAACTCCTCTTTAATTCGATGAATTATGAATGAATTAATTCTTCAGTGAGTTCAACATGAAGATACCTAGATGAATAGGTCGAAAGGTCCCAGACCAGATATCATTGCTGATTTTTATCAATTAACCTTAATTCTATCTCATAAACTTAATCAGTCCTCTGACTTCGAATGAAGCTTTTCTTTCAGTGTATTATATATGAATACATTATGCAAAGCATGCCTAAGCTCTTTTTGTACATTCGCCTCTAACCTATGTTTTTCTGCTCTTCTTCTTATTCTCTTTGCAGCTATCTGGTGGTATTGCAGCAACTGGAAGCTTTAAGGTGCGACACGTGAGCTAAGGCGGAAGTGGGGCATGTTAAAGGACGCCGAGGAGCTGATAAAACGCTGCAAACTGACGTCGCTGCCGCTGGCGCTGCATATGAACGAATACGGCCGCCAGGTGGCGCCAGCGCCACTTGCTGCGCTGCCGCTGCTGGCCAAGCCCACCAACACGACGCCAGTGGGTGGGAGCGTGACTTCGGGAGCGGGAGCGGGAGCGAGCGCCATCTCTGATCATCATCATCTACACACGCATCATCAGCTGCCGCTGCCGGTGTCTTTGGCGCTGCCTATGCCGGTGACATCGACGCACAGCCACGCCCATGCCTCGATGCATACGACGCCACCCACAACGCCGCCCACGCCGCCAGCTCTGCCGCTCAACATGAGCCAAGCGGCAAGTGCAGCAGCAGCAACTGCCGTAGCTGCCACGCCCACAACAACGCACAGTCCACCTGCCACGCCCACAGCAGTGAGCGCCGCCCTGGCGGCCACACAGGATCATTACAGCCTGCGCTGGAACAACCATCAGAATCACATCTTGCGCGCCTTCGACGCTCTGCTGCAGACCAAGACGCTGGTGGATGTGACCCTCGTCTGTGCAGAGACCTCGATACGTGCTCACAAAATGGTTTTGTCCGCCTGCTCGCCCTTCTTTCAGCGCGTCTTTGCGGAGACGCCCTGCAAGCATCCAGTCATAGTGCTGAAGGACTTCCGCGGCTGGGTCGTTCAGGCTATTGTGGACTTCATGTATCGAGGGGAGATCAGTGTGCCCCAACAGCGCTTGCAGACGCTCATACAGGCAGGTGAATCGCTGCAGGTGCGCGGCTTGGTCGAGAGCTCTGTACCGGAGCATACGCCCACGCCGGCCGCCTCGCCGGACGACTTTAATCTGTTGGACGCCTCACTACTCTCATCCAGCTACGAGGACGAGTCACCTTCGATGGTGAGGCCGACGAGTGGCAAGCTGATCATGCCCAGTCGCCTCTTTGGCAGTCCGGCTAGCACTATGGCGGCGCTTAGTATGCGTCGCAAGCGGGAGCAGGAGTGCGAGCGGGAGCCGGAGAGCGACCAGGAGCTGGGCGGCAGTTCGCCCATGCCACGTCGCAAGCAGGCGCGGCCACGTCGACGATCCGGCGATGTGCCACACGATTTTGCGCTCAACAAGCCGGAGACGTCGGAGTCGGCGCTGCAAACTGTGATCAAACACGAACTGCGAGACGATCAGGACCAGGATCTAGAGCGGGAGCAAAACGAGAAGCGTTCCACAACAGACGACGTGAGTCCCATGGAGCAAGATGAGGAGCAGACAAATCACCCCACTGCTGAGCCGGAGCAACAGCAGCAGCAGCAGCCGAGGGAGAATATGGAGCCAGAGCAGGAGCGGGCAATGCCACTCATCACGTCCAATCAGCAGGCCGAACCGGAGCTAGATGAAGATGAGGACGAAGATCAAGAACAGGAGCAGGATCTGGAGCAGGAGGAGGCTGAGAACGAGCACGAGCATGATCACGATCACGATCGAGACAATGATCACGATCACGAACACGATCCGGACGAGGACGAGCAGGACATCGAAGAGCTTATACACACGACCAACGAACTGCGCAGGCAAGCAGCTGTGGCTGCTGCAAATGCCGCAGCAATGTCACCGTGCCCCAGCGACGGGCCCGAGGATCTGTGCACCACCAAGAAGGACAAGGACACCAGCAACTGCCATTCCTCCGATAATGAAAGCAGCACCAACAACAACAACAACAGCAGCAAGCTGCAGGACAACAATCAACGCATTATGTTATCCTTGAAGGATATCAGGCAGCTCAATGCCAAGCCCAGCGCCAGCTCCACGCCCAGCCACACGCCCAACAGCTGTACGCCCGGCAACAATGGACTGTTGCCCTTTCCTCCCCCAGGCCTGCGGCCACCCGGTCTGCCCGATAGTCCGCCCTGCCACATGGAGGCACTGGAGGCACAAATGCATGCGGCAGCCGCTGCCGCCGTTGCGGCTGCAGGCGCTGCCGGTGAAAATCCGTTCCACCACATGGAGCATCAGATGGAAATGTCCCTGGCCGCGGCGGCTGCAGCAGCAGCCATGCATCAGCGCGAGTCACGTGATCCGCGCGAGAGTCGCGAACAGGCGCTGCAGCGCGAGCACAATGCATTCGCCAGCAATCTGTTGGGGCCGATGGGGCTGCCGCCCTTTGGTTCGCACAATGGGGTAACGGGGCCGGGCTGCGGAGGTCAAGCGCCGCACGAGCGGCTCGAGGAGAGTATGAATCGGCTGAGCAAGGAGTTTGGCAAGGAGTTCGGCAAGGAGTTCGGCAAAGAGTTTGGCAAAGACTTTGGCAAGGACTTTTGCAAAGAGTTTGCGCCCACCTCGCCAATGAGCCTGCCCGGCCACTATAATCCGCAGGATGGACAGCCGCATCCGCCGTCGCCGCTGCCCTTTCCCGGCATGTCCTCGGCGTTGACGCTAACGCCGCCGCACAGTAAGTAGCAACCTTTAATTTTTCGATTCATGCGGGGTCACTGGGTTAGACACATCTGGATTCTGCAGTTGCTTCACATCCTGTTGCTGTTGCTGTTGCCTGTCTAAACACATTTGGTCTTGCCATAAGCGGAAGTCCTAATAAGCGCTGCTGCCTTTAGTCTCTCTTTGCAATCCTTATTGGCAGCATTTTTTCATTCTGCTGCTGGTAGTCCTTATGGGCAGCTCCTACTCTCTCATGTCCCCTCTTCATATCGCCCTCTCGCTTGAGGACTCCTTGACGCTGCGACTTCTTCTCGCACGTACGCCCCACTGACTTCACTTTTAATAAGCTGGCATGTCCCTTGCCTGCTTTGCAGCATGCAACATGTGGCCACTGTCACTCCCTTACTCTCTGTCTGCCACAAACATCAAAGCGGCTCCAATTGCATAAGCATCCTTTGCTCAACTCATGCGCTCGTTGCCAGGGCCAAAGCTGTCGCAAAGCCCTTAAACGCATTAGGTTGGCCCTCCGTGTGGGTATTCACACTCTCCAACAGCTTTATACGTATTTTTTCTCTGTCATTTTATACGCTTTAGTCATCTTTTTTTTAATATTCTGCTGCAACAAGTTGTCAAGAAAGCTAAATATATAAAATACTTGTTTATCTTTGGCAACTATTCTGTTTGAGAGTTTGCATAGAGTTCACCGTTTTTTTTTAACTCTTGGAAGATCTTTACTGCACGTTCTCTATGTATAGCAATCAAAATTTCCTGTATGCAGATCTTTGCCGCGCACATTCCTTTAACAATTGTCAGCAGTTGGTTCCTTTACATATGCTACTCATAACATTCTTAGGGGCGCTTACCCTTTGAATTCTTGCTTTCCTCATTTTACGACCCTTCTATGCGCTCCTCATGCTAACTTTCCCCACATTTTTCCCAGTCCTATCAGCAATTTAAAAGCTATTTTGCTCAAGTCACGAACATATGCGCTACCTTTTTAGCCTATTGCAGAGCTTCCCCTTCACTCTTAGCTCCTCTACAACCCCTTATGAGCAATATTCATTTTCAGTCCTAATTAAGTCATAAACAATTTTTGCCCGTTGACAGCTCATAAAAATATTGAAATGAACTGAAAATACTAAAATATGGCAATAGCTGCAAGTGCGCCTCTAATAATTTGACAGTTTAGTTATTGCTCCCTCTGCCCTGCTGACGCCTCTGTGTGGCGTAGCATAGACTCAACAAATTTGTCTCAGCATAGGTGGAGGTCGAGGCGGAGGTAAGCGGACTCGGTCCCTTGGAGCTGCATTTGCGGTCGTTGCAAAGTTGCACGTTGGAGTTGCAGTCGAAATAAATTCAATTGCGGTTTATATATGATTTTGTTTCCATATATATATTTATGTCACCCGAGGCAGAGAGACAGAGGCGGAGGCGGCAAAGGGGCGTGAGAAGCTGGTTGAATGTTGCGTGCAGGTCGTTTGAAATTTATGTTGTGTCTTGGCAACATGTGAAGCAGGCGAAACAACATGTGTGTTGGTGTGTGTGTGTATGTTTTTTAGTCGCGAGTTCAAACTGTCGGCAGACGTTTAGTCAAATGACTTTTAAGTTGCCCAAACAGACAGACACACACAGACAACTGCCGCGCCCACACTCACACTGAGTGTTGTGTTTAAAGTATGCCACACGGTGCTGCAGCGGCGCTTAAACCTTTTGGCAAACAACTTTGGCAGCATAAATAAAAAGTCAGAGTCCTGTGTGCTGTGCAGAGACCTGACTGAGTTCTGATTCCTTATACTTCTGATAGTCCTCGTAGTCCTTCATTCCCTCTCTGCTGCAGCTGCTTGTCGCTTCCCTTTTCGTATAAAACTTTGCATATAAGTCGCGCGATATTCATATTAATAATATCCGTTTGGGGAGTCCAGCCCCCTATCCAACTCAAGCCAGTTTCTCTGCCAGGCGCGACGCGCACACAGGATATAAAATAAATTAAGGCACAAAAATATGAAAAATTGTACGAAAATGCCGAGTCGCAGGAAGCGCAATACCTTTTAATGCGACAAAAATTTCAACCAACATATCAGAGCAGTGTTGGCAATAGGGTTAGGGGCGAGCTCCGAGCGCTGTGCACCATCCGAGGCGAGTGGGGCGTACAAGCAGCTCGCTAACTACTGCATAAACAGGCTGCAGGCAATGAATGCCAGCTAAGGATACAAGAAAGAAGCCGCGACTTGGCAAAGAAATGCAAAAGGAAGCATATACTCTATCTTGGGAAGTTGTGTGTGATAAGAACATAAGAGCTAGAGGAAGTTATTTTTGATAAGATCATAGGATGATAATAACTAACATATGAAATGTGTATATGAGGAGATCACAAGGAACGTAGAGAAGAAGGTTGCTCTAAGAACTACACATCAACGGAAAGTTGTGTTTGACAAGATTTGAAGAAGAAGATTGGGATCATAAGGGAGTAAAATTATAAGGAACATATCATCGGCTTGTTTACATAGCTCTTTGGTGCGATAATATAAACTAAACATTTATCTCATTTATGGATAACATATTCATTACTATTTCTTAGACATTTGTATACTCAAGTCAAATTTAAGATTTGTTAAAGTAGCCAAAATGTTTTACTTCGAAAAGTAATTTAAAAGTAATTCAGGAGGATCGGTAATAACTTCCCAGTTTGCCAAAAACTTTCTGATGTTGCATGTCCTCTCTGACTCTCATTTCTCGTCTCTTAACTATGTATTACATAGATGCTCAGAAAGTCATTATACCCTGCTTTGTTTACACTACACTCACTCTCTGGCCAAACAGAAGCGTTGCAGACAGCCGCAGAAAAAGATTTGCCAACTGTGTGCCGTATGAAGAATGTGATTTATTTTTTCTTCTAGCAAACGGCATTTCGGCGTGAAAATCATTGAACTAATAGCATGTGACATGGGAGTGTGTGGGTGACTGTGTGGGTGTGTGTAGACAACTCAATGGCTGTCTTGTTCTAGAACCCTTGAGAATAAACGTGAAAAGAAATCCGCACTAATTTCGCCAAGCCAGACTTGCTTTGACTGCGGAGATGGAGCTACGGAGTAAGGGAGCGAGGCAGGCAGAGAAGAAACGCATATTACGTATACGCAGCGTGTTGTTATGTCTTGAATACTTGGCTTGCAGAGCGCGTCGCAAACAATGCGCGCTCGTTATTTGTGTCATTATGCAGCAGATACAAAAGTCTTAAGATATGGATACAAATATTCGCATTTATTCATATGTGTGTCTGTGTGTGTGAGGGAGTGTGTTGTGCCTTGGCTTCGCATTCGCGTACTTATGAAATCATTGAGCAGAATGTCAGTGTTATGCGTTATCCCTGACACACGTTGCTCTGCGCAGTTCTCCTCCCTGCGTATCCTTTGGCTCGCCTTTCACCGTCTTTCCAGCTTCTTCGGCTCGTCTTGGCTGCCTCATCAGCGCTTCAATTGTTTCACTCATGTGTAGAAGTGCACTCGTAGCGCAAATTATTAATAGAATAATGACGTTCCATTGTTTACATTGTCGACATCCACTTCTACAGCCAGTTGCACTCAATTGCCATAGTCTTCGGGGTCTGTCTCGGAAGTTCGCGTTCGCTTTGACTCCCATTGTTAGATTGGCCATTCACTGAGCTGGAAAATGAGTCGCTTATGGAAACATTTGCAATGGAAAGCAGTTTTTAAATAAAGCCAACTTATAAATAGTCAAGTATAAAATAGAACAAATATCACAGCTGATTAGCTAAAGGCATAAGTTTTGTTATTTAAGTAATTTTCCACTAATTTAATATCTAATTCTGTCTAACTTACAGTGTTTGGCCTGGACTCACCGCTCGGCCTGTTTCCGCCCGGCATTGATCCTGGCAAGCTCTACAACCCGCTAATGGAAATGAGTGATCCACGCGATATGCCCGGCGGTCCGCCGCCGTTTCTCAAAAAGAAAAGTGAGTAGTCATCAAAAGCCCCGTCACCTTTAGCTCAGTCTACGTGAAAAACAAACAGCTAATTAACCTCTGAGCATTAACTTCGAACCCAATAAAACGAGACCAGACAGAAAACGTACTGCGCGAGAAAGGTTGAAAATCCATTCAACATGATTGCCATGTCGATCACTTTGCCATCGCTGCTGCTGAAGTCTCCCTTTACCTTATGCCGTTTCGTGCCTTACTTCACACCTGACTGATTGATCTCTCTGGCTGAGCTCAGTCGAAAAAAAGTTGCTGCACTTTTGATCACGTCGCTGGCTTGTGCAATAACTAGAAATCACTTCAGTAGGTGTCTGGTCTTTAGCCTTAGATCGTTGATCAGTAAATATCAGCGGACAGTTTTGTTAAAATGAATAATATTACGGATATTATCTGAAAATCGATATTGCTGTGAGCTTATATAGCTTGAAGTTTACACTTACTCTATGAGCCGTAGGTCGTTGAACAGGGAAAGCAAATGAGAAAGCTACGGATCGCCGCTTATATGATCTGATACCCAAAATCAAAAATTTTTAGATATATGAGAATGGATTTGAAAATATATTTATAAAGAGTCCAATTCTATATTTTGTAGCAGCATTGACAAATGCCTATCACTGATCGTCTTGAGGTGTTCAGCAGTGATGATCGTTAAGTAAATTTCAGCGAAAAATATTTCAAACAGATTCTTTGCCTTTAAAGTTTTTTACACTTCCGTAAATGATTTTCAATATATATCAATATGGGCAGCAAAAACTTAACTGATCACTGATCACTGATCGCTGTTCTTGCCCTTTTGCCACATTCAAAGACACAAGAAAAAACAATACGCTCTGAATTCAATGCGTGCTCATTTCCTTTTGGCATTCTATCTGCCCCTTTACCCCTTGATCAGTTTAGACGCGATCACTCGTGCGATCATGTGAGGCGGCAAATTTGTTTTTGTGGTTTTCCTGTGTAGCTCCACTGGCCTGGCCAGGCCTGCGCTGCAGTTGGGTTTGTTTGTTTCTTCAATGGATCAACATGTGCACCTATGCATATCGTAAACGTCGTGTTTTTTCTCAACTCTTGATTGACAAATAGTCAGCTCCATAAACGTAGTCGTTTATTTTTATTTCTTTATTTGAAATGCAAGTGAAACCTCAGAAAGTTAATGAATTTTTTATAAGTGTATGTGTGTGTCTGTGTGTGGGGAAATAATATTTCTATAATATGTACAAAATGTGGTTCAGAAATCAATTATCTATCTCTCTTGATTGTCATGTGATTGACAAACGCGGGAGCTGGAGGGGTCGAGCGGCTCGTTGATTGTTGGCTTACGGCTTGAGCCATGTGAGCTACAAGTTTTGACAGCTAATTTGACAGCTGGGCTGGCGTTGATGGCTTAAGTGCTTGGCGAGCGCTTTTTATGAATGGAAGATAAAGCTAAGATCATAAATGATTTTGTGAATGATCTCTTACATGTTTCTGGCGCCACGCTGAGCAGTTAAGTGAAATGAGGAAAAGTTATGAGGGCTTTCTGGCAAAGTCTTAAGACGCCACTATAAGACATTTGATTACGATTTGCCTAAAATCTGAGTGTTTTAAGATTTAAGTTCTGTCTCTATTGTAAAACAGTTTCGATTCATATCTTGTGCGAGCCTTGATCCCTGTTTGGCAGCTCAGATACGAGCAGATTACTAGCATTATGATCTACTAACCATATCAATCAAAGGCAAAATGTTGATTAGATTCACATAGTATTTGATCTCTATTTATTTATCATTTATCAAAAAGCAAGATCTGTTTATCTAATATTGGTTTGATTTGAGTCGTTTACGTTTTCATAAACTCATCTCTTTACATGCATGAGCATGGGAGTATTCTGCCTGTATGCTGAAATCTGATCGACGATCTTTCCACTTCGTTTCGTACACACTTTCAACTCGGATCACATTTAATTGCTTAATTTTGTGATCAATAGCCACAGTTACAGAAAGTCGTGATCAGATGCTTGGCATGCCAAAAGCGAAATGCCACAACAAAGCTCGTATCTGAATTGATCTTCTGTCTGCTCATCACACACAGAGATATAGAAAGAGAGAGAGAATGAACGGGAGAGGTACAGGGACTCCTACTCATCCCGACCATGACAATCGCTGCTTAAATTGCGAACAATGTGAAACAGTAAATAAAACTGTGCTAAAAAGCGCAAATCTGGCGTATAGCACGATATTCTTTATTGCGAATCGGGCAAACGGGTTTTCCTTACTTTTTCGGCCAACATTGATAAGAATCAAGCACTTGGCTCGAACGGGCCCCAGGGTGGGAGGGAGACTAACATATTTCTAGGGCCGTTGCTGCTATTGTCTTCGTGTGGGTGTGATTAACTGATTTGTTCACATTCATTTGTTCATTTTCTGATTGTTTTCTCTCCCTCTGTCGCTCTGTCTCGCTTGCTTTCTGTCTAGCTGTCTCCCTCTCCAGTCAGTTGTTTATGTCTGAAAACGTGATTTGCGATTTGTAACAAATTCAAATTTCATTTGGCTAGCTGAGAGGACGTCTAGGGGCAGCGCTGCCTTATTAGAAGCCAACAACAGCTCGAAGAGCCACAACAATTGCATTGGGGTTCTGCCCGCTTGTTCTTGTCGCAGTTCAGTGGAAAAGAGGTCTGACCTATCATTTGAACCCGAGCAAAAGAAGAAAACCAAATAACAACTGCATTACATAAGAAATTCGAACTAATAACGAGGCCCCAAATACTTCAAGCTTATAAGAAGCTCTACTCAAGAGGCGAATTTTGTATTTTACCTTCTTTCTGCTAAAAGCTTCAATCATCAAATGCTCTCATATCATTTTGTGAGTCCCACATTTATTTTCACTTTGCTAAAATCTAGCTATCGGCACCATCAACCAGGCCAGGGAGGCGAAAGAAAAGCTGCAATAAACTGTAAATTATCGCAGCCTGCAAATTTTGGCTACATATTCGACTTAGCCAGCTTGAAGCTCCAAACTCCAACTGCAGCTCCGGCATCAGCCTCAGCTTCAGGTACAGCTTCATGCTCGATGTTGTCTCCAAGCCGAAGTTGTTGTCGATCGGACCAGCTGAACCTGTGGCAGCAACTCTCTCGTTGTGGGGCAGGTCGATATCTGTGGATCTAAATTGAGTTTTGGCGGCGCATGTGACGAGGCTCCATGCTCGTAATTTGCATATGGAAGGTCGGGCGAGGCACTGGCTCAAGCGCAGGCTGCGGGTATGGGAACCACCACAGCGTTCGCTTTTTTGTAGGTGCCACATGCAACAGCAACAACAACTAGATAGTACCAGGCTAGCAGTTATGCTATACGTTCACTACTTTTTCTATAAAAGGGATCCCATGTGGGGCAAGCGAGTGACTATAGAAGAACCTACGTGCCAAACCTACGCCTTTTGGCTGTTAAGCTATGTGAGTTATGCTTATGTGAGTGAAACTGATAATCGATAAATATCGATTTTAAGGCATGACACTGATATATATATATCAAAACGGCTTTGATGAATGTCTTAAGCCTTCAGTGCAGTAGCCTCAATTCGCTTTAGTTAAATTTGAAATCCATTGAGTTATTATTGGCCACAAATATACTCCTCCTTTACACTACCAATTTCTACAGGGTATTGAAACAGCAACAGGGTGTGTATGAGCTGTAGGCAACTGCAGACAATGGGCGAATCTTTCAACAAAATTGTCTAGGCCGCATATGGGGCACGTAGATTGAAACATTAGCAGATGGTCGCCGCAAGATAACCCGACTAAGACTTAAGACTACAGTAAAGCTTCGTATACAAGTACTAATCAATCTCCCTCTCTTTCTCTCGCTATTTGTAGTGCCACGCCCTAAGGGACAGCATTCAGCGCCACGCGGCGGGCCGCCACGTTCCTGGACCAACACAGAGCTAACGGAGGCACTGCAGCACGTGTGGAACAAGAAGATGACCACGTCGCAGGCATCGCGCATCTTTGGCATACCCTACAACTCGCTGCTGATGTATGTGAGGGGCAAGTACGGCAAGAGCTTGAAGCTGGAACAGCTGCGCAAGGACTGCATTAGTGGGCCGCCCATTGAGATGCTGCAGATGGGCATCAGCGGCGGTGGAGGCGGCGGCTCGAAGAGCGAGAAAAAGGAGCGCAAGGACAAGGACAAGGAGAAGAACGCCCATGGCAATTCGAGCAGCAACAATAGCAATGCCAATGGCAGCGGCAATGGCAGCGGCTCCAGTGGTGGTCCACCACCCATGCCACATCCTAGCGAACTGGGTGGCCTGGGTCCGCTCGACTTGGAGCTGGGCCTGCCGCTGGGTCCGCCCGCTGGTCCACGCAGCGGCAGCTCGGAGCCGGATCTGCTGGGCGGCCCCAATGCTCTGTTCAATCCGTTCAATCCGCAAGGCTTCTATCCGGACTTTGCCGGCGGCTTCCCCGGCCTTCCGCTCAGCATGCTCAATCTGCTGCCGCCAGCGGAGCGGCATCATGCAGCGGTGGCCATGCACAACCTGGGCGTTAGCATGGACGAGGACTGCAAGTCGGTGGGCTCCAAGCAATCCTCCTCGCTGGACGATGACTTCGCCATGGCTGCGGCCGCCGCTGCAATGGAGCAGCGACGACATGGCGAAGCGACGCTGGCGCAGGCGAATGGGGCGGCGCAGGATTGAAATATGTGGCGGGATTGGGCTGCCAACCCAATGTTCTTCCCGCCCTACGAGCTGGACGCCGCTGCACCCACCACCCTCTCGCCTCCTGCACCGCCTCCGCCACCACCGCCGCACGGCTGTCGCGACTTTAACTTCAATCCGAGCATCTTCATGGCGCGTCGGAAGCTGAAGCGCTACAGGACGAAGCGCGTGCCGATGCATGCGCCAGGTGCAGGAGCAGGAGTCGGAGCAGGTGCAGGAGTAGGAGTAGGTGGAGGAGCCGGAGCTGGCAGTCTGCCGCCGCCACACCCCGCCGCGCTGCCGCCCCCGCTGCGCACCTGAACAGGGGCCCAACTGTGAAAATGGCATGCAATATGTTTGAATAACTTCAATTAATTAAGAGTCTAATTTAAAATTTCCATTCGACAATATTTAATTTAACATTAAGTCTATATTTTAAATGATAATTCAATAATTCAATAATTTTGTATTTTGTATATTTTGCTGGTGCTTTTAGTTCCTATTCCCATTTATAATTTCGTGTGCTTTAGTTTGTGTTTAATTATTATTAATTATTGTTAATTTTAAGCTAAGTAACTGAATATGACAAAGCTTACAAAGCATTTGAGGCAATACATTGAGCACTTAATCTAATTTAATATAGTTTAACCAACTTTAATTATTATTAATTATTTGCATTAATTATGATTGTACGTATGTAAGTAAGAATATAATCAAAACGAAATTTATGGCTAGCTGTAGTTTTAAGTGGAAAATCTGTAAATACGAAAGCAAATCTAACCAAACCAATCAGCATTAGGGGCATTCCGCGTTGGAAAAATAAAATATTTGAAAATCAAACAGAAATGAAAAGAAAAAAAACATTTGTAACGCAAGAACTTAATTTAATATTGATCTACGCATATTTATATATGTATATTTATGACGACGACGACTGTACCAAAATTTTTAATGTTATTCTATGAACCAGCGGCAATTATTTAGTTATATAGTGTAAGCGTAATCCCCTAGGCAATTCGTAACTGTATAAATCGTATATCCAAATCGAGTACGAGTAGTTGTATCACAAATACACACACAAATATATACATAAATACATACAATTATATATATATATTTCTAGAGTTCGCTGTGTAAGTGTAGTGCAAACATAACGGTAAACATAATGTAATGGGGAATGCCCTGAAATTTATTCAGTTTTTTGTAATTGAATTTGTAAATGAACCAAACGACGATGCTCGTATTGGCAAGTGACTCATTTATCCGCGCATAGTTTTTAATAATTTATAAGCTCAACAAATATTTTAAATTATAATTATAAACACGAGAAGAAACAGAACAAAAAATATTGACTAAGTTATGCATATAATTAGTAAAGGTTATTAAATAAAAAGTTAAATGAGATTCATTAATTCATTCATTCATTAAATAGTGATTGCCAGTCTTTTCATGTTAAGCAAAACTAAATATGCAGCAGAATTATGCAGTCAATTTTAAATACGTTAAATAACGTATTCGAATTTGACATATATATTTTTGATGTTATCGTTTGTTTCGATAAGTTGTGGCGGCAGTCGATATGCGAGCATTGGTTTGTGTCTTGAATGCGCGGGTGTATTACTCTGCTAAAACATTTGCTGCAGCTCTTCAAGTAAGCGATTTATGAGATAAACAATCTAAGTCCATCAGTTCAGTCACACAGACCACAACGCTCGGCACAAAATATTTAATTACAAAATCCAAATGTGCTAATTGTACTAATGTGTAAATATGTGTAATTCTTAGCTTATGAAGTGCGCAGATCATATGTGGGTTAAGTATTCTGGGAATAACATATGTTTTTGGTGTAAAAATTTGCTTATCGCGTCGATTCGTTAAGCGTAGAAAATAGGGTGTGTCAAGTGAACATTTCGTTAAGTGGTTGGTTCGTGAACTGACTAAAATTGCGTTAAACAGATTATTCGTTAAGAGTGGTATTTTGAAGCGAATTCAGAATCGGTGTTGTAGCAGTGAGCTACGTTGTTAATTTTGGCGGGTTAATTTCAAATTTTCAGTTGCTTAAATAATTTTTGCTAAAAGTAAATTTAACTCAATTTCAATAAAAATAAACCAATTATGTGTCTGCCACGCTTTGCGCTTAGCTAAGCTGTCAATAAATATAAGTGGTAAATTGTAAAAGTCGCAATTTAAAAATGTGGCAAACCCTCGAAATGCCTTTAAAGTACAACGTTGACACCTTTATTTGCGTTGCAGCAATCGAGGAACTAAACAGTCCTTTGTAAGAACAGTTATAGCTCACCATGCATGCCCGTTCGTAGCAATTGTCCAAATTGTGGAAAGCCTGACAGCCAAGTGGGTGTGGGTAGCCGATGAAACGGATTTGACCTATGCCATATCGACCTCTGCTGCAAACGTGGAAAATGCACAACAGAGCAGCTCAACTGGCCGAACCATCCATATGGGGTATGTACATAACTGCATTTGTATTTGCATAGCACACTCTCTCTGTCCTCCCCTCTCTATCTGCCTTTCTACTGCATCTGGTTTGACCAAGCGACAGCAACATTCATGCTGGTAGCTGCAGATGCCGCAAACATATCTGCATCTGTACGGCCAAGAGTTTATCTGGTTGCTGTGGTTGCCTTCTGTCAGTTGCCAGTTGCCAGTTGCCTGTTGCCAGTTGCCACAGGTGCAGGCCACCATCTCCAATTCCTACACCAGCTTCAATTCCAATTGCCAGTAGTCAAATTTCATCAAACATTTGCTTAATTTGTTTCGCATGTGATTTCTCATGCCACGCTTAGACCTGCAGACAGACAGACTGATAGACAGACGGACGCACAGGCAAGCGTCAGTCTGCCGGATTCTCTGTTGGCCTCATCATCATCAGCAAAAGCATCAGCCTCAGGATCATTGGCTACCTCTTGCCAGGGTGTCAGTCATGGACAGTTGCCTGGCCTTTCGCCTTTGTTGTCGTCGGCTGCCTGTCGCTTCGCATACCCTGTGCATAGAGGTTTGAAGTAGGGTATGTCTACATACTACAGAAGCTCTCAATACTTTAGTATAGATTACATCTATGACTTCTAGATTCTTAAAACTGATAAATATCGATTTCCACTAAACATTAAAAAGAGACGAATTTAGTCGATAATTATCATTTGTTTATCCAGATTTAAAGATTAAAATTTGGATAAATTTCTCTAAAAAAATAGTCGAAAATTAATTTTTGTTACAATTCTTTTGCGCCGATTGTAGATACCTTGGATCCAAAATGTTCGTACGATCGATAATTATCGAAAATAGTTTTTTGCGGATAAAAAGAATTGAATATGTCAATTTTGGGACGAAAGTTCATAACAGTTTGGTAACCTCTGACTTACTACGTTGACTAAGCTTAATAAAATTCAAGAAATAAAATTATTAAAATTCTTAAGTACTTGTGTACAGGGTATTTGCTAGTCAGTCATTAGGCATTTGAACAGCATTTGCATGCTACTGTTTGGCTACGGAATGCTCTACCTACCGCTCGGCGCTATTCTATGCATATTTTTGACTCAGTTGTGGGCATTGAACTCGCCTCGCAGCCAGTCAACGGCTCATTAACTCAAACGCCGTATCATATCAGCTGCATATTTGCAGTCGCATTCTCATTTGCATTAGCATACATATTATATTATATGTTTTTGCATTTGTTGTTTTTTCTTTTGCTTTATTTTTGGCAGAAAATATAGACAATACTTTATGATTGAGAAATCCGTCTGGCAATTGCGTCACGCTGTGCTCCCTCGCAGCTTCGTTCAGCTTCAGAGTTCGATGATGCGCTGTTGTGCGCTGTTGCCTCTGGGACAGTATCATGTGTTATCTATTTATATATAAAGGTAAATACTAAGCACGTGTGTTCCATTGAGCGAGAGAGAAGTCAGCTGCTGGTGCGAGCTTTAGCCAAGTGTACCGTTATTTTGATTGCCAAATATCAAGGGGATTTCAAAGAGTGTGAACTTTAGCTAAAGACAAGCACTATAAAATGAGCTTAGCTCTGACTAAATAAGATAAAAGATATCAAATATCATCTCAGACATAAGCCATCTCTTATCTGGCCTTTACACACACAATTCACTATGAGTGTTAGCTTTCATGACTAAGTCAAAACTGAACCGATATTTATTTAAGTTTTTATAAATAAATTATTTTGTACTATATCGTTTTCAGCTGATATATTTTTGGAAATATATATCTAACGAAATCAATGTCATTTGCAATCAGCTCAATAATAATTCTGCTTTGATTTCATTTATTTCAAATATTCAAATATTTATTCACTGTTTTTACATTTATTTTTAAATATAATTCTAACTCTTTTAACTGTTTTTTTTTTTATATAAATGTTTTGTTTTTGGCTTTGACTACATACAAATATTTTCAGAAAAACTTAAAGTTGTTTCTTTGTTAAAATGGAATTTTAACCTTAATTAAGTGTTGTTCAGAGCACTGCTTTGTGCTTTTAGTATTCAAAAGCTGTTGACGTTCATATTTATTATAATTAGACTGGTTTATTAATAGAATTTAATTGAATTATGGATTATTTTCATTAAGAAACCTGCTGAGATTCTCTACTGCATGCAAATAGGGCTTTTGTCTGATTAGGCTTTGGCTGCTGACCTATTGCCAAGCAACTGGTTCACGTATCCATATGCATAAATTAATATCCAATCAGGGCAGACACACACACATGCACAGATATGCACAGGTGTCTTGCATTGATCAATAGGTGGGTGGGTGCAAGTGGTGGCTGCCCCTACTTGGCAAGCAATATTATTAATTAGTTGCACTAATTGCAACCGTGGCACTCCTGCCCCTCATTGTTGCACCTGCCTGTTGAGTGGCACCTGCAATTAGCAGCCTTTGCACAGAAAGAGACAGAAAGTGAGCGAGCGAGAGAGAGAGAGACAGTCACATTGCACGACTTTGGCGTCAGCAGCAACAGTAAAATGTGGACAATGCGCGCCGGCATGTGACACGCGGCCACCACACGCATTGCACCACACCGCACCACCTTCCAAAAGACAAAATCGAGTGGCGCTAAAAATAACAAAAGCCTAAGCCCCAAATGCAGACACTGCCAAAGAATGGCATACAGAAGCCGAAACCGAAGCCGAAACCCAGACCGAACCGAGGTCCAAGCACTGAAACAGAAACAGAAACAGAAACTGAAATAGAAACTGAAACAGAAACTGAAACAGATGCAAATTGAAACAGAAATGGAAACTAAAATTAAAACAAGCCGCATTCAGCCTACCAAACGAAATCGTCTCTCTGTTTTAAAC